CCACCTGCTCCACTGCCTCTCCGTTAATCTGAAGAGAGCAACAGACAGGAGAACGAGAAAGCACTAGGCTTTTCGTTTTAGATGCGTTCACACGCATGCCGGTGAAGTTGCATTCGGCTGCGAACCTTTCTAGGAAGGACTGAAAATCAGTCTCAGAAGATGCTAATAAAACAAGGTTGTCTCCAAACAGCAACCTTCTCGTCTTAACGTCTCTTACATCGTTATACTCATTATCTTAGCAGCTCCTGGCTATTCTATCCATGCACAGCACAAACAGATGAGGGGACATGACCCAGCCTTGGCGGAGACCAGTGCGAACGTTGAGCGGTTTCGACTTGACGCCATTAACTCTGACACAGCACTTGCTATCACAATACAGCCATTGGATCGCCCTTAGCAGCTGGCCATCTATCTCGTATGCACGAAGGCATGTGCATAAACTATTGCGTGGGATCCGGTCATAGGCTTTTTCTAGGTCGACAAGATACATGTACACCGGACGGGCGTACTCCCACAATTTTTTAACAATCTGGCGCAGGGCAAATATATGGTCAGAGGTGCTTCGACCGGGCCGGAAACCACACAGCTCTTCTTGTGTCTTGAGGTCAGCTATTTCGCGGCGCCTCCTTTCTAGCGCCTTTGCGCAGACTTTACTTGGGAGGCTCAATAACGTAATGTCCCTATAATTGAGCATTCCTTGTGGTCTCCCTTCATGAATAGGGGTACAATAACTACCCTTCTGCAGTCCGCTGGTGTCTTTCCCGCAGTCATCGCAGTTTCACAGGCACATGCCTTCTTTGCCTAATGATTTGAGCATTTCAGAGCGGATTTCATCAATTCCAGCAGACTTTTCATATTTCAAGTTTTTCGCAGCTTCTGTAATTTCATACAGAGATGGTAATATCCGTACTTTTCTTCTCTACAGGCAAGTCTTCCTGCGGCTGCGCGGGGTTAAGGAGTTCCTCGAAGTACTCCCTTCATCGCCGAAGAATGTCACCATCCTTCGTAGGAGGTTGTCCAGAACTGTCCTTCAAGACTCTGGGACTGCTCTTCTTTTTACATCAGAGCCAGCGGATGGTCTGCCAGAATACTTTGTTTAAGGTGGAAATTCAATTCCAACTTCTCACAGAACTTCTACCAGGAACCAGCTTTGGCTTTCTTCACTGCTTTCGGTGCCGATTTGTGTGCCTCGACACATCGCACGCGAGTAGAAGGCTCTTTGTTTCCAAGCAATTTCTTTCACGCTGCTTTCTTTACTTTAACTGCCAGTCTCGTGTCCACTGTCTGATTCTTTTCTGACCTCCAAGTGGCAGGCTATACCGTTTAAATCCGCAGTATTTGGCGACAGCCTCGAATATACTGCTCTTAAAGAGCTGCCACTCGTTTGCCCCATCAGCAATCATCACAAGGATCTGTTCAAACCGTCGTGCGATGTTGTTTGCCAATTTCGCTCTCGGGTCCACAGAAGTTAATGTTTCCCATTTGATTCTCCGGTTGCTTTTGCCACCAGATCTTCGTATGGTACTCCATTTCTTACAACGCAGCGTGCCAGCAACATGGTGATGATCGGTTGATTGTGTTGCGCCTCTCTTAGCGGGAATGTCCATTACTTAGTGTCCTAAGTCAGGCGATGCGATTATCAAATCGGTCATCAACTTCTGTGCACAGGCTTCCCAGAACCAGGTGATGCGTTTTTCGATGCTCGAAGGAGGTGTTCATAATGGACAATCCGTTGTTTGCACAAAACCGCAATAACTTCATACCGTTATCGTTGAGGTCGCTAGGGTTACTTTTTTTCCAATCACGCCGTTTCACGTTTCAGCGTCTATTCCGACATGTGCAACTAAAATCGCCTATGAGTATGAGGGACTCTGTGTTCGGCACTTACGATAGAGCACACTGCACTTCCTCAAGGAAGGTGTCACGTTCTCTCACCAAGTTGGGCATATGAACATGTACCAGGGTCAATTCTTTGGCCTGCTGTAGCTTCAGTCGGAGGATTACCACCCTTCTGCTCACAGGCTTCCAATCAATAATTCTATCGGCGAAGTTGGGTTCTACCAGAACACTAACTCCGGCCTGAGCACGAGTCGTGATGTCGACGCCTGAGTAGAACAGCTTCCATCCATTGAGGTTCAGGAGTCCAAAGCCTTGGCGTTTCATTGACGAGAGTCCAACAATGTCCAGTTGGTATTTCATGGCCTCATCAACTACTTCTTGTTCTTTTCCTCTGAGTGAGGATATGTTCCAATTTCCGATTTTTAGCTTCCACTAGTGGTGTTGTTCTCGTGGAGCCTTTTTTGATGTGCCATAATGGCATCGTGCAATCGCACTCTGCCTCCTGCGTTCAGAACAGGTAGCGACTCCGTTGCTGACTGGTATCTTCGTCGCCGTTCGGTCGGTCTTGGTCAGCCGTTGTTGTGCTTCTACGCCCCCGGCTGCCAGAGGGCAGTGAACAGGTTCTTATCGCCGATTTTTTGCAGTCTGCCTCAGTTACCCAACAGCCTGCGTGGCCCTTGTTAACCTGAGCGATGCCCGAGCCGGTATAATTTTCGGTGACAGCAATGCCATGAGTTGAAGGTGGCCAAATTTGAAGGAGACTTGCAACGGTCTCGAACCCTCCTTCTTTTTCATCCGGGCTTTGGACCGACAACGGCGGAGTTCGGTTGTCAACGTAAATAACATAAGCAAAAGCAGCATAAATAGTTATTCTGTAGGAGGTTTGTGTGACATGGAAAGAAACTTACATATTGTTGTAAATCGCCTTTTGGTGTTGTAACAAATAAACCACGTCGGGCTGTTTTCTCCATCACTAAAGGACGGACAGACTGTTAGTAATTATATTTCTGGATATGGCAGAAAATCTGACAGGCAGATGATTTTAGAGAACATGTTGAATGCTGGCATTGCGGGGCTATTGCTCCACTATAAGGTTTTAACAATCCATACAGTAGATGGTTTTTAATGAAGCGTTTACTCAGGTTATCGTTACTGAACGTTCTGCTTTTGTCGCAGCTCTTTCTTGTGTCACTTGGACTGGCCGGTAATCGGCGACGAATCACACTGCCCGGAACATGCCCGTCATTCCTGGCGGTTTCGAGCCTCCACCTTAAATGCGGTTTGCCCGGCTTCTGATCCTGTCTTCCCACCGTCGTGGTGAGCGACCGAACGGCATAGATCTTCTGACGGGGTACCAGTCGACGATCATCGTCGATCATCTCCCGTCGGTAAGCCGAGCTACGCTGCCTGTCCACCGTAGTTTCTTCTTTCTGCTTTCGATGATGACGTCCTTCACTCCCATTTGCTGCCTAATCATCGTGTTGGGTATTAGGTCGTGACTCGAGATTCCCTATATTGTTCTTTTCGTGGCTCTCTCGGTGACTAATGGTTGGCGCTCTTTGAGTTTCGTGAATGCCCACGTCTCACAGTCATACAACATTACCGATAGGACGGCAGAATTGAAGAGATGGGCGTGGGTATCTTTCTTGATGTTGCTGAGCTTTCTTCGTCTTTTGCAATAGAACGCGCGCCAACCGGCCCTCCATTTTTGTTGAATGTCTCCAACCTGATCATGCCGCTTGCTGATTTTTTGGTCTAGGTAAACGTACTTATCGATTTCTATCTTTTCGCTATTTAATGTCATATGGGTGGGTTTTCGGCAGGGCATCCGATCACAGTATCTCTATCCTCCCGACTGATTCAAAGTCCGATTTCTGCACTTTTTCTGTAGAGCTC